AACATACTTCTCGTCACATTCCCCACAGGTCTTCACGACCTAACATTCTTCTCGTCAAGCTTCCCACAGGTCTTCACGGCCTAACATACTTCTCGTCACGTTCCCCACAGGTCTTCACGACCTAACATTCTTCTCGTCACGCTTCCCACAGGTCTTCACGGCCTAACATACTTCTCGTCACGTTCCCCACAGGTCTTCACGACCTAACATTCTTCTCGTCAAGCTTCCCACAGGTCTTCACGGCCTAACATACTTCTCGTCACGTTCCCCACAGGTCTTCACGGCCTAACATACTTCTCGTCACATTCCCCACAGGTCTTCACGACCTAACATTCTTCTCGTCAAGCTTCCCACAGGTCTTCACGGCCTAACATACTTCTCGTCACGTTCCCCACAGGTCTTCACGACCTAACATTCTTCTCGTCACGCTTCCCACAGGTCTTCACGGCCTAAACATACTTCTCGTCACGTTCCCCACAGGTCTTCACGACCTAACATTCTTCTCGTCACGCTTCCCACAGGTCTTCACGGCCCAACATACTTCTCGTCACGTTCCCCACACGGTACGACGTTCATTAACTAGTGAACTGGTTTTCAGTTTGTGAATCACTAAGTCTCTGATATAGACAGGAGATTTTCTCGCTATCTTGAGACAGTTGATGGTAATATTAGAGAATATGTTAGACGCCACACTCTTGGATAACCCAAGAAAGTCAGTGAGTCATCGAGGACTGTCTAACTTATTTCCATTGGGGTCCTTAATCTTGTCCCCCAGGATGCGACCCACACCAGTCGACTAACTCCCTGGTACCTATTTGCTGCTAGGTGAACAGGACAGCAGGTGTAAGGAAACGTGTCGACGGGTGGAAACATTTCAACACGTTTCCTTACACCTGTTGTCCTGTTCACCTAGCAGCAAATAGGTATCTGGGTGTTAGTGGACTGGTGTGGGTTGCATCCTGGGGGACAAGATTAAGGACCACAATGGAAATAAGTTAGACAGTCCTCGATGACTCACTGACTTTCTTGCGTTATCCTGGGTGGCTAACCCCCGGGGTTAAAAATCCGAACGAAATCTTATCTTATCTTATCTGTCTGGTAAAACTATCTGATGTACAACCGTTGAAGTTTCTTGTAGATAATTACCTTCTAACTTCATGTTGCTCGTCTTCACCCGCTGTGTGTGCTCATTACTTACCTAACTTAATAGTAATGAAGTTGGTGAAATATTGGTGGCAGTGGAATGGTGGTGATAATAGGGAGTAGTAGTAGTAGAAGTAGTGGTAGTAGTAGTAGTAGTAGTGGTAGTAGTAGTAGTAGTAGTAGTAGAAGTAGTGGTAGTAGTAGTAGTAGTAGTGGTAGTAGTAGTAGTAGTAGTAGTAGTAGTAGTAGTAGTGGTAGTAGTAGAAGTGGTAGTAGTAGTAGTAGTAGTAGTAGTGGTAGTAGTAGTAGTAGTAGTAGTAGTTGCAATAGTAGTAGCAGTAATAGTAGTAGTAGAAGTAGTGGTAGTAGTAGTAGTAGTAGTGGTAGTAGTAGTAGTAGTGGTAGTAGTAGTAGAAGTAGTGGTAGTAGTAGTAGTAGTAGTGGTAGTAGTAGTAGTAGTAGTAGTAGTAGTAGTTGCAATAGTAGTAGCAGTAGTAGTAGTAGTACTAGTAGAAGTAGTGGTAGTAGTAGTAGTAGTAGTAGTAGTAGTAGTAGTGGTAGTAGTAGTAGTAGAAGTAGTGGTAGTAGTAGTAGTAGTGGTAGTGGTAGTAGTAGTAGTAGTAGTAGTAGTTGCAATAGTAGTAGCAGTAGTAGTAGTAGTAGTAGCAGTAGTAGTAGTAGTAGTAGTGGTAGTAGTAGTAGTAGTAGTAGTAGTAGAAGTAGTGGTAGTAGTAGTAGTAGTAGTAGTGGTAGTGGTAGTAGTAGTAGTAGTAGTAGTAGTAGTAGTAGTAGTTGCAATAGTAGTAGTAGTAGTAGTAGCAGTAGTAGTAGTAGTAGTAGTGGGTATAGTGGTAGTAGTAGTAGTAATTGCAATAGTAGTAGTAGTAGTAGTAGTAGTAGTAGTTGCAATAGTAGTAGTAGTAGCAGAAGTAGTAGTAATAGTAGCAGTAGTAGTAGTAGTAGTATTAATAGTAATAGTAGCAATAGTATTAGTAGTGGCAATAGTATTAGTAGTAGCAGTAGTAGCAGTAGTAGTAGTAGTAGTAGTAGTAGTAGCAATAGTAGTAGTAGTAATAGTAGTAGTAGTAGTAGTAATAGTAGTAGTAGTAGTAGTAATAGTAGTAGTAGTAGTAGTCATTAAAGTACTTGAGTGGTTATGGTAATACTGGAAATTGTGGCTTAGTCGTGGTGGTAAGTTAATTCAGGTATACACAAACACAGTTGAAGATTGAGACACATATGCAGCATATGGGAATCTTTATTCAGGAAACGTTTCGCCACACAGTGGCTTCATCAGTCCAATACAAAGAGGAAGGCGTAAGGAGAGGAGGAGTATGAGGTAATCAGTCCCTGAGCCTGGAGTCGATGTGTTCAGTCCCTCAATCTTGTAGAATGTACAGCATAGGGCCGTGGACGTGGCTTATATACTGTAGTGAGGTGAGGTGAAGCAGGCGGAGGCTGGGTCATAGTGGTACCATCCACTAGTCGAAGTAGGTCTTCGTCCAAAGGTTGAACAAGTGTTGAAGAATTCTTTGTAACAAGATCCCATGATGCTGCAGTGTCTGACAGTTGTAATGAATGGTTTGAAAAACCGACAAGTTGAAGATTGAGACACTGTCAGACACTGCAGCATCATGGGATCTTGTTACAAAGAATTCTTCAACACTTGTTCAACCTTTGGACGAAGACCTACTTCGATTAGTGGATGGTACCACTATGACCCAGCCTCCGCCTGCTTCACCTCACCTCACTACTTCGACTAGTGGATGGTACCACTATGACCCCGCCTCCGCCTGCTTCACCTCACCTCACAACAGTATATAAGCCACGTCTACGGCCCTATGCTGTACATTCTACAAGATTGATGGACTGAACACATCTACTCCAGGCTGAGGGACTGATTACCTCATACTCCTCCTCTCCTTACGCCTTCCTCTTTGTATTGGACTGATGAAGCCACTGTGTGGCGAAACGTTTCCTGAATAAATATTCCCATATGCTGCATAAGTGTCTCAATCTTCAACTTGTCGGTTTAACAAACCATTCATTACAAACACAGTTACATAGATTATCATACATAGCAGTATATGTGGAGAGAACCTGGGATAACACAAGAAAGTCAGAGTGACTTATTAATGAAGAGGTGGTGATATTGGTAGTAGTGAGATGGTGGTGATACTGGTAGTAGTAGTGAGATGGTGGTGATATTGGTAGTAGTGAGTGGTGGTGGATTTTCGGTAGTAGTGAGGTGGTGGTGATATTGGTAGTAGTGAGATGGTGTGATACTGGGAGTAGTGAGATGGTGGTGATACTGGTAGTAGTAGTGAGATGGTGGTGATATTGGTAGTAGTGAGATGGTGGTGATACTGGTAGTAGTGAGGTGGTGGTGATATTGGTAGTAGTGAGATGGTGGTGATACTGGTAGTAGTGAGATGGTGGTGATACTGGTAGTAGTGAGATGGTGGTGATATTGGTAGTAGTGAGATGGTGGTGATACTGGTAGTAGTGAGATGGTGGTGATACTGGTAGTAGTGAGATGGTGGTGATAATGGTAGTGTGAGTGGTGGTGATCTGGTAGTAGTGAGGTGGTGGTGATATTGGTAGTAGTGAGATGGTGGTGATACTGGGAGTAGTGAGGGGGTTTGGGGGTGATACTGGTAGTAGTAGTAGATGGTGGTGATATTGGTAGTAGTGAGATGGTGGTGATACTGGTAGTAGTGAGATGGTGGTGATATTGGTAGTAGTGAGATGGTGGTGATACTGGTAGTAGTGAGGTGGTGGTGATAATGGTAGTAGTGAGATGGTGGTGATACTGGTAGTAGTAGTGAGATGGTGGTGATACTGGTAGTAGTGAGATGGTGGTGATACTGGTAGTAGTAGTGAGGTGGTGGTGATACTGGTAGTAGTTAGGTGATGGTGATGCTGATAGTAGTGAGATTGTGGTGATACTGGTAGTAGTAGTGAGGTGGTGGCGATACTGGTAGTAGTGAGGTGGTGGTGATACTGGTAGTAGTGAGATGGTGGTGATACTGGTAGTAGTAGTGAGGTGGTGGTGATACTGGTAGTAGTGAGATGGTGGCGATACTGGTAGTAGTGAGGTGGTTTGGTGGTGGGTGATACTGGTAGTAGAGAGATGGTGGTGATACTGGTAGTTGTGAGGTGGTGGTGATACTGGTAGTAGTGAGATGGTGGTGATACTGGTAGTAGTAGTGAGGTGGTGGTGATACTGGTAGTAGTAGTGAGGTGGTGGTGATACTGGTAATAGTGAGATTGTGGTGATACTGGTAGTAGTAGTGAGGTGGTGGCGATACTGGTAGTAGTGAGGTGGTGGTGATACTGGTAGTAGTGAGATGGTGGTGATACTGGTAGTAGTAGTGAGGTGGTGGTGATACTGGTAGTAGTGAGATGGTGGTGATGCTGGTAGTAGTGAGGTGGTGGTGGTGGGGTGATACTGGTAGTAGAGAGATGGTGGTGATACTGGTAGTTGTGAGGTGGTGGTGATACTGGTAGTAGTGAGATGGTGGTGATACTGGTAGTAGTAGTGAGGTGGTGGTGATACTGGTAGTAGTGAGATGGTAGTGATACTGGTAGTACTAATGAGATGGTGGTGATACTTGTAGTAGTAGTGAGATGGTGGTGATACTGGTAGTAGTGAGGTGGGGGTGATACTGGTAGTGGGTAGGTCGTAGAGCCGGCTGTGTCGATGTGACAAGTAGTAGTAGTAGTAGTAGGGTTGTGGTGGTAGTTATAGTAGTAAGATAATATTGGTATTGGAAGTAGTGTAGGTGTTGTGGTAGTGGTAGCTGTGTATGGTAGTAACTATGCTGCACTGTTCTTATGTTCCTCTATTTCCACAGGACTGTGTAAGGAAGATCAGTTCACAGTGAAGGGAGAGAAGAAGTTCACCTTCCTGTGTGGTGCTGCACCGTCACACTGGCACTGTAACTAAACACTGTTTACAAAAGTACCTGATTATTATGTTTATAATAATAAATACGTAAGACCTGGTATCTTAAGGTTGAGGAAATGATGATATTGGTAGGTAATGGGAGAGAGAGTAGTTGGTGGAATACAAGTGATGGAGGAGAGTGGGGTGAACATGGTGAAGCAACTGAATTTTATGGTATATGAGGCATTACCAGTGTGGTGGAGTGTGTGGGTGACTGTGTGGGTGACTGTGTGGGTGACTGTGTGGGTGACTGTGTGGGTGACTGTGTGGGTGACTGTGTGGGTGACTGTGTGGGTGACTGTGTGGGTGACTGTGTGGGTGACTGTGTGGGTGACTGTTTGGGTGTTTATCAACAGTGTTGTGGAGTATGTGGGTGAGTGTATATCATCAGTGTAGGTGAGTGTGTGGGTGACTGTTTATAATCAGTGTGGTGGAGTGTGTGGGTGATTGTTTATCATCAGCATGTTGGAGTGTGTGGGTGATTGTTTATCATCAGCATGTTGGAGTGTGTGGGTGATTGTTTATCATCAGCATGTTGGAGTGTGTGGGTGATTGTTTATCATCAGCATGTTGGAGTGTGTGGGTGATTGTTTATCATCAGCATGTTGGAGTGTGTGGGTGATTGTTTATCATCAGCATGTTGGGTGTGTGTGGGTGATTGTTTATCATCAGCATGTTGGAGTGTGTGGGTGATTGTTTATCATCAGCATGTTGGAGCGTGTGGGTGATTGTTTATCATCAGCATGTTGGAGCGTGTGGGTGATTGTTTATCATCAGCATGTTGGAGTGTGTGGGTGATTGTTTATCATCAGCATGTTGGAGTGTGTGGGTGAGTGATTATTAACGTAATGGAGTGTGTGGAGGAGTGCTCTTATTTTATAGTGCGCCAAGTACGTTACAATTTATCCGTGGTTAATATCATACCTTCTCCACCAGCCAACTGTTGGATCAGAACAGAGCAGTTCTGTAGCCCAACTTCTATAGTAATTATCCAGTTCTGTCAAACAATAGTGTGAGAACTGGCCCCCAGCTTAGTTGATGCTGTGTTGTACCACCTGGCTGTGGGTCAGACGCTCACACCAGCAGGTCGTATACACTCATACTCTCTTGTTTATTCTGAGGTGTAAAACTTAGAGTTATGTGGCTCTGTTTTCTGGCTCATTATTGTCATACTCATTATTATTTAACTCTGTTATTGGGTCTACCTACCTGGAGTATACCTAGAGGTTTTCCTTGGTGGTCAATGCCCCCAGCACGCCTCAAACAGTGGCCCGTGGCCTGGTGACAAAATATCTCACGTCACATGGTCTCCTGGAGGTTACCTGGAGATTACCTGGAGGTTATTCCGGGGATCAACGCCCCCGCGGCCCGGTCCACGACCAGGCCTCCCGATGGATCAGGGCCTGATCAACTAGGCTGTTACTGCTGACCGCACGCAGTCCGACGTACGAGCCACAGCCCGGCTGATCCGGCACTGACTTTAGGTATCTGTCCAGCTCTCTCTTGAAGGCAGCCAGGGGTTTATTGGCAATTCCCCTAATGCTTGATGGGAGGCTGTTGAACAGTTTTGGGCCCCGGACACTTATGGTGTTTTCTCTTAGTGTACCAATGGCGCCCCTACTTTTTATTGGCGGCATTTTGCATCGCCTGCCCAGTCTTTTACTTTCGTAGGGAGTGATTTCTGTGTGCAGATTTGGGACCATTCCTTCCAAGATTTTCCAAGTGTAGATTATGATATATCTCTCCCTCCTGCTTTCCAACGAGTACAAGTCAAGTGCTTCCAAGTGTTCCCAGTAGTTAAGGTGCTTGACAGAACTTATACGTGCAGTAAAGGATCTCTGTACACTCTCTAGATCTGCGATTTCACCTGCTTTGTATGGAGATGTTAATGTACAGCAGTATTCCAGCCTAGAGAGAACAAGTGATTTGAAAAGGATCATCATGGGCTTGGCATCTCTCGTTTTGAAAGTTCTCATTATCCATCCTATCATTTTCTTTGCACGTGCGATCGTGGCACTGTTGTGATCCTTGAAAGTGAGATCCTCAGACATTACTACTCCCAGGTCCCTTACATTATTTTTCCGCTCTATTGTATGGCCGGAGTCAGTAGTATACTCTGTTCTAGTTATTATCTCCTCCAGTTTTCCATAACGGAGTAGTTGGAATTTGTCCTCATTGAACATCATATTGTTTACCGTTGCCCACTGGAAAACTTTGTTTATATCTTCTTGGAGGTTAACCGCGTCCTCAGCAGATGACAGCCTCATGCAGATCCTAGTATCATCCGCAAAGGATGATACGGTGCTGTGGTGTATATCTCTGTTTGTCTGATATGAGGATAAGGAATAAGATGGGGGCGAGTACTGTGCCTTGTGGAACAGAGCTCTTCACTATGGCAGCCTCCGGGTTCGATTTCTGGCAAGAGTAGAAACATTGGGCGTGTTTCCTGACACCGGTTGTCCACGTTCACCCATCAGTAAAATGGGTACCTGGGTGTTAGTCGACTGGTGTGGGTCGCATCCTGGGACAAAACTGACCTAATTTGCGGGAAATGCTCTTCATAACAAGAGGCTTCCTATATAGTAGTATGTCATTGATGTCAGCTATGGTCTGTATACCTTGTAAATGTACTTGTAGAAATAAAGATTTATTATTATTTTATTATTATTATTATTAAATACTCAAACAACGCACGCATTACAACGTACGATCCACAGCCCGGGTGATCGAACACTGACGTTAGGCATCTATCCGGTTCCCTCTTGAAGGCAGCCAGGAGATCTTTTAGTAGTCCCACTTATGATGGGAGGCTGTTGAATAGTCTTACTGTATTTTCTCTTAGCGTCCTCATGGCATCCCTGCTTTTGATTGGGGATGTTGCAGCATCTGCAGAGTATTTTGCATTTGTAGGGAATGATTTCCAATGCAGATTTGGGACCAGTACCTCTAGTATTTTCCAGATATAGATTACGATGCATCTTTCTCGCCACTCTTTCCAGGAAGCACAGCTATAGGGACTTCACACGTTCCCAGTAATTAAGGTGCCTGATTAAATTAAAATGTGCAGTGAAGAGTTTCTGCACAATCCCTAAATCTTTAATTTCACCTGCCTTGGACGGGGCTATTATTGTACAGCAATATTCCAGCCTGGAGAGAACAAGTGACTTAAAGGGAATCATCACTGGCTTGGCATCCCTTGTTTTCAAGGTTCCTGTTATTTATTCTATTATTTTCCTCGAAGATGTGATAAAGACACTGCTGTGATCCTTCAAGGTGAGATCTAATATTATCACTACCAAGTTCTTCGCATTAATTTTTGGCTCTAATTTGTGCTTTGAATTTGTGCCCGCTATTATTTCCTGAAGTCTTCTCTAACTGAGTAATTGATATTTTTCCTCACTGAACATCATATTTTTTTCACGGCCCATTGGAAACTTAGTTTATATCCGTTCAGAGATTTTCCATGACCTCATTGGACGATACTCTCATGCATATTCTACTGTAGTATCGTCTGCAAGGGAAGACAGTGCTATGTTTAACATCTGTATGAGATATGAGGACGAAAAAAAGATGACGTCGAGTACTGTGAAGGTTAAGACACATGTGCAACATCTGGTTATCTTTATTGTAGACGTTTCGCCATCCAGTGGCTTTATCAGTACAGATTCTAGGACATAAATAGAAGACAGAAGAACTATATACAAAAGATGAGTACTGTACCTAGTGGAACAGAGCTTCTCACTGTAACCGCCTCCGATTTATCTCTGTTTACCATAACTCTCTGTGTTCTGTTGCTTAGAAGTTGAAGATCCATCTGACCACTTTTCCAGTTATTCCTTTATCAATCATTTTGGGCGCTATTATACCATGATCGCACTTGTCGAAGGCATTTGAAAAAATCTGTGTATACAACATCTGCACTTAAACCATACCACGGGCGGGATTGAACCCGCGGTCAGAGAGTCTCAAAACTCCAGACCGTCGCGTTAGCCACTGGACCAGCTAGCCACAATAAGATTCGTCCAACTAGGTATATTTCTACACCATAGGAAGGTTAGCATAGGCACCACTGTGACCACAAATGGCTAACGCGGCGGTCTGGAGTTTTGAGACTCTCTGACCGCGGGTTCAATCCCGCCCGTTGTATGGTTTGTTTTCAATCGTGTCATTACGATTTCGTGAGTCAACATCTGCACTTTTTTGTCCTCTATTGCATCCATGTCATAGGATACCTCTCCATAGCATAATTATGGCACCCGATAAGGGTTTCTGAGAGTTCTTGTCGAGAACGGAGTTCCACCAATCTGAATCTGGGGCAGAGTACATGGCCATCGTGTCAATTTTTTTTCTAAGTCCACTGGAGTTACGGTTATGTCAGAAATTTGGCATACATTAACAAGGATTTGAGTCTCGCTCATGAAAAATTCATTTAGTCTGTCGATCTCTAGCTTGATGAACGGTACACTAAACACAGTCAATCTGAGACTTCAGCATGTCACTCATTTCCTTATCATCATTCGTATAAGTTCCATTTTGTTTGAACAAGGGCCTGATACACCATGTGGTTTATGCCTTGTTTTTGGTACATGAAAATTAAATATTTTAATTTTTTTTTAATTCATTAACTTCAGCTCCTTCTGTCTCTCCTGGATCCTGTAAGATTCATTTAACTAAAGTTCAATATTTTTTACTTGCCTAGTCAGGGTTTCCTTCCACAAGATAGTCTCGCCACCTGGAGAAACTCATTGATTCTTCGCCTTTGCATGTTGAGCGAGCGTCTCTTTCCAGTTAACTTCTCCTTTTTTTTCCTTAGGTCAATGTGCCTTGAGAATACTTCAGGTGTCAAAGAATAGAAAATTTCAAGACACTGGTTTGGATCCATGTTACTTAAGATATCTTCCTAGCATGTATCTTTCCATTTTACTGGTCAATATCCCTGTGTATATACATCTGAACTTCGATTAGGCTGTGATCTGAATTATCTGTCATTTAGTATCAGGTCATTATTATTCCTAATATAGGTTAAAATGTGTTTTCCAGTTTTTTAGTTAAGCTTTTATCATCAATGTGATGTAGTACGAGGCTGACTGTTTATCAACAATGTGACAGTGTGTGTGTGTGTTTATCATTAGTGTGATGGAGTGTGTGTGTGTGTTTATCATTAGTGTGATGGAGTGTGTGTGTGGGGTGTTTATCATTAGTGTGATGGAGTGTGTGTGTGTGTGTTTATCATTAGTGTGATGGATGTGTGAGTGTTTATCATTAGTGTGATGGAGTGTGTGTGAGTGTTTATCATTAGTGTGATGGAGTGTGTGTGTGTGTGTTTATCATCAGTGTGATGGAGTGTGTGTGTGAGTGTCTATCATCAGTGTGATGGAGTGTGTGTGTGAGTGTCTATCATCAGTGTGATGGAGTGTGTGTGTGAGTGTCTTTCATCAGTGTGATGGAGTGTGTGTTAAGTGTTTATCATTAGTGTGATGGGTGTGTGTGTGTGTGTGTATCATTAGTGTGATGGAGTGTGTGTGTGAGTGTCTATCATCAGTGTGATGGAGTGTGTGTGTGTGTGTGTATCATTAGTGTGATGGAGTGTGTGTGTGTGTGTGTATCATTAGTGCGATGGAGTGTGTGTGTGTGTGTGTATCATTAGTGCGATGGAGTGTGTGTGTGAGTGTTTATCATCAGTGTGATGGGAGTGTGTGTGTGTGTGTGTATCATTAGTGTGATGGAGTGGGGGTGTTGTGTGTATCATTAGTGCGATGGAGTGTGTGTGTGTGTGTGTATCATTAGTGTGATGGAGTGTGTGTGTGAGTGTTTATCATCAGTGTGATGGAGTGTGTGTTGTGAGTGTTTATCATCAGTTGTGATGGAGTGTGTGTGTGTGTGTTTATCATCAGTGTGATGGAGTGTGTGTGTGTGTGTGTGTGTGTTTATCATTAGTGTGATGGAGTGTGTGTGTGAGTGTCTATCATCAGTGTGATGGAGTGTGTGTGTGTATGTGTGTGTGTTTATCATCAGTGTGATGGAGTGTGTGTGTGTGTGTATCATTAGTGTGATGGAGTGTGTGTGTGTGTATCATTAGTGTGATGGAGTGTGTGTGTGAGTGTTTATCATCAGTGTGATGGAGTGTGTGTGTGAGTGTCTATCATCAGTGTGATGGAGTGTGTGTGTGTATGTGTGTGTGTTTATCATCAGTGTGATGGAGTGTGTGTGTGTGTATCATTAGTGTGATGGAGTGTGTGTGTGTTTATCATCAGTGTGATGGAGTGTGTGTGTGTTTATCATCAGTGTGATGGAGTGTGTGTGTGTTTATCATCAGTGTGATGGAGTGTGTGTGTGTTTATCATCAGTGTGATGGAGTGTGTGTGTGTGTATCATTAGTGTGATGGAGTGTGTGTGTGTGTATCATTAGTGTGATGGAGTGTGTGTGTGTGTATCATTAGTGTGATGGAGTGTGTGTGTGTGTATCATTAGTGTGAAGGAGTGTGTGTGTGTATCATTAGTGTGATGGAGTGTGTGTGTGAGTGTTTATCATCAGTGTGATGGAGTGTGTGTGTGTGTATCATTAGTGTGATGGAGTTGTGTGTTGTGTGTTATCATTTAGTGTGATGGAGTGTGTGTGTGAGTGTCTATCATCAGTGTGATGGAGTGTGTGTGTGAGTGTTTATCATCAGTGTGATGGAGTGTGTGTGTGAGTGTCTATCACATGTGTGATGGAGTGTGTGTGTGTATGTGTGTGTGTTTATCATCAGTGTGATGGAGTGTGTGTGTGTGTATCATTAGTGTGATGGAGTGTGTGTGTGTGTATCATTAGTGTGATGGAGTGTGTGTGTGTGTATCATTAGTGTGATGGAGTGTGTGTGTGTGTATCATTAGTGTGATGGAGTTGTGTGTGTGTGTATCATTAGTGTGATGGAGTGTGTGTGTGTGTATCATTAGTGTGATGGAGTGTGTGTGTGAGTGTTTATCATCAGTGTGAAGGAGTGTGTGTGTGGTGTATCATTAGTGTGATGGAGTGTGTGTGTGAGTGTTTATCATCAGTGTGATGGAGTGTGTGTGTGTGTATCATTAGTGTGATGGAGTGTGTGTGTGTGTATCATTAGTGTGATGGAGTGTGTGTGTGAGTGTCTATCATCAGTGTGATGGAGTGTGTGAGTGTGTGTTTATCATTAGTGTGATGGAGTGTGTGGGTGTATATCATCAGTGTGATGGAGTGTGTGGGTGTATATCATCAGTGTGATGGAGTGTGTGGGTGTATATCATCAGTGTGATGGAGTGTGTGGGTGTATATCATCAGTGTGATGGAGTGTGTGGGTGTTTATCATCAGTGTGATGGAGTGTGTGGGTGTATATCATCAGTGTGATGGAGTGTGTGGGTGTATATCATCAGTGTGATGGAGTGTGTGGGTGTATATCATCAGTGTGATGGAGTGTGTGGGTGTATATCATCAGTGTGATGGAGTGTGTGGGTGTATATCATCAGTGTGATGGAGTGTGTGGGTGTTTATCATCAGTGTGATGGAGTGTGTGGGTGTATATCATCAGTGTGATGGAGTGTGTGGGTGCATATCATCAGTGTGATGGAGTGTGTGGGTGTATATCATCAGTGTGATGGAGGGTGTGGGTGTTTATCATCAGTGTGGTGGAGTGTAAGTGTTTATCATTAATGTGGTGGAGTTTGTGTGTCTACTTTCAATATGGTGACCTTTAGAAAGACACAATGTTTTTGCGAGAAATGCTAATCAATTTTCCCTTTGCTATATTAATGTGTTTAATGCATATCTATAGTAAGATAATATATTTAGCGTCCTCAAGCTTGACTGGTGTTCTGCACACAGTCTACCTAGACGTCGGAGGTCACGACCACTCTACTGTCTTCACATTTACCACCTCCACAGCTAACTACAACAGGAAATTTAAAATCAAGGTCTCCATGATCGAGTGTTCCCATTCAGGTAAATTTATAAATATGCAACTTTCTAAATACTATTCTATAAGCTGCACTTCACTAGCCAGGATCTTTCTCCCGTTTTAAAATACTGTACATAACTATAATATTGAAATATGTGATAACCTACTACACTGTAAGGGGAGATACCATTTAAATTTCAATGGATTCATGAGCATATAATAGACATTTACTACGGCTCTGCTTTACCTTACAGGAGCTTTTTAAAGTTATACAATGCAAGAACACTGAGCGAATTTTAATGCACACCACTTCCTCGGTGTGGGGGAGGGACTCTCTGTGACTCCTGCGGCATTCAGTTGGAGGTTTTTCTCGCTTCTCTCCTCCTCCATGTTTTATTTATTTATTTATTCATTTATTTATTTATTTATTTATTTATTTGAACATGATACAGAGAAGTAAAAAAGGAATACAGTAAAGTGCAACATGCCAGAGCCCCTTGTATGCAGAGCATTATGGGCAGGCTTAAAATTAACTTAAGATTAACTAAGCAATGATATATTCAGTGGTAAAACATTATTGTAAACAGATAACAATTAACACAAATGAGTATTACAAAGACAGGTCATATAGTCATTTACTGTGTTATTGTGCAATCAGTAGAATGGAGTATTCTGTTAGGTAATGTAATTAAAAAATAACAAAGTTTGATTGGGTCTGAGGTTAAGCATTTCTGAGGTACAATTATGAGAAACATTTATGAGATACAATTTATAAGATAAAATTATTCAGTATTTATTTGGTTGTGGGTGAGTAAGTGATTTTTGAGAAGAGACTTGAATTTATAAACAGACAGTGTTTCTTTTATATTTACAGGTAATGAATTCCTGATTTTAGGCCCTTTTATGTGCATCGAGTTTTTGCATAGCGTGAGATGGACACGAGGAACATCAAAGAGTGATCTGTGCCTTGTGTTATGATCATGTGTTCTGTTGAGGTTGGTAAGGAGACGTTTGAGGGGAGGGTTTATATCCGAGTTAAGTGTTCTATGTATGTAGTAGGTGCAGTAATAAGTATGGATGTTTTGTATGGTGAGTAGGTTTAGAGTTTTGAATATTGGTGGAGTGTGCTGCGTGTAGTGAGAATTTGTTATCATTCTGACTGCAGCCTTTTGTTGGGTAATTAGTGGTCTGAGATGGTTTATTGTTGTTGAGCCCCATGCACAAATTCCATAGGTGAGATAGGGGTAAATAAGAGAGTGATATAGGGCCAGGAGGGCTGACTGTGGAACATAGTACCGTATCTTCGATAGTATGCCTACGGTCTTGGAAATTTTCTTGGAAATTTGCTGTATATGTGTATGAAATTTGAGTCTATTATCAAGGTGGATTCCTAAGAATTTTCCCTCTGTGAGTTTTGTGATAGGTGATCCGTTTATCATTATGTTAAGAGGGACATCTGTAGCTCTGTTACCAAACTGAATGAAGTAGGTTTTGTCAATGTTCAGAGTAAGTTTGTTAGTCCTCATCCAGGTAGATATTTTTTGTAATTCGGTATTTACAGTATTGGCTAGCGTGACTGGGCTCGGGTGAGAGAAGACGTATGTAGTGTCATCTGCAAATAGTGTGGGTTTGAGTAATTGCGATGCATTTGGTAGGTCATTTATGTATATGAGAAAGAGAAGAGGGCCAAGGACACTTCCCTGTGGGACACCAACTGTAATTGGCTGAGCGGAAGAGTTTGGCCCATTTGTGTACACATATTGGCTTCTGTTGCTGAGGTATGACTTGAGGTAGTTGAGGGAGTGCCCTCTAATACCATAGTGTGACAATTTTATGTGGAGCAAGTCATGGTCAACTGTATCAAAACTTTACGTAAGTCTATGAAGATCCCCAGTGGGACTTCTTTTTTTCTCTATTGCAGTGTATATATGTTCTAGCATGTGTATAATAGCATCATTAGTATTTTTATTAGGCCTGAACCCGAACTGACAGGAGTTGAGTATGTTTTGGGAGATGAAGTAGGAATAGATTCTCTTTTGAATTAATTTTTCGAAGATTTTAGAGAGCGGGTGTAAGTTAGATATTGGCCTTCAGTTATTCAAGTCTGTTTTGTCTCCTCCTTCATGGATCGGGGTGACCCTTGCTATTTTGAGAACTGTAGGGAATGTGGAGGATTCAATGGATTTGTTAAAGAGTGTTGCAATGATTGGTGATAATACTTGTGACGCTTTTTTGTATATAAATGGTGGTAAGGTATTTAAATCTCCTGTCTTGTTTTATAGTGAGTTGATAATAAGGGAGACTTCAGTTGGGTTAGTTGGAGCTAGGAACAGTGAGTTCGGGTAGTTGCCAGTGAGGTAGTCATTGGGTGGGGTATCTGAGTTTGGGATTTTATTGGCAAGGTTTTATCCTATGGTGGAAAAGAAATTATTGAGTCTGTTTGCTGTTTCAGTTGGTGGGAGTTGGGGTTCATCTGGTTTTGTTAATTTAATTTTGCTATTACGTGATATCTTTTTTGTTCCTAGAATTTCTGATAGGGTTTTCCAGGTCTTTTTTATATCACCTCGTAAGTTGGATAATCTGTTCTCATAATGCAATTTTTTAGCCCTTCTTACCAGGCTGGTTAGGACTGACGAGTAACGTTTTGTTTGGTCTCTGGTTATGTGACCCATTCTGTACTGTTTTTCATATAAGTGCTTTGTATTTATGGATTTGAGGATGCTGGGTGTTAGCCAGGGACTGTTCAGTCTCTTAGCTGTCATCTGTTTAGTCTTTTTAGGGCAGTGCTTATTATAGAGGTGTTGGGTCTTTTTTAGAAAATTATTAATACATTCGTCAATATCTGTATAGATTTCTAGCTCAGTGTGCCAGTCAATGTTTGTCACTGCTGCTGTGAAGTTATTAATAGCTGCCTCATTGTGAAGTCTGAAGGTGACTTTAGTAGTGTCTTGGGGTAATTTACCAAGATTTGTAATGAGAAAGGTAGGGTAGTGGTGTGTGGTATTATCTGTAATTATGCCTGATTTTAAAGGCGATATGGTGTTGGTTCAGATGTGGTCTAGTAGGGAAACACTAGTCTCTGTAACTCTTGTAGGTTTTGTTACTGTTGGTAGCAACATGCAGTTACTCATAGTGTTTGTGAATTCAGTAACGTGTGGGTCCTGGTCTTGCAGGAGATTTATATTGAAGTCACCAGAGAGTAGTAAGTGATCTTCGTTCATGCGTGCATCAGTTATCATACTTCCTAGGTTGTCACTAAAACGGCTAATGTTTGACTGTGGTACTCTGTAGATGTTTATCACTGTGAGAGATTTTTGTAGGTATTTGGATTTGAATTTAGCTATTATATATTCCCCATGTTCACCCCTTGTGCAAGTATTAGTGATACATTCTAGTTGGTCTGAGTAGCATATAGCTGTGCCACCCCCTTGTTGATCTGGCCTACAGTTGTGTATGGCTGTGTAACCAGGAATGGCATAGACATCTGTAGTATCAGGCTTTAGCCAGGTTTCCGTGAGAGTAATGAGGGATATAGTGGCATGCAGGGAATTTAGTAATGCTGTGAGGTCATCGTAATGTTTGCTTAAAGATCTGATATTGTAGTTAAAGATAGTTATGTTGTTGTTGGCTCTGAGAAGTGCCTTTGATTGTTCTGCTGTGTAGTAATTACAGTTACTGTTTGATTCATTTATGTCATTAAATAAGAGGTTGGTATCAGGATCAATGCTTGTTATCATAAGATTTATAGTGAATCTATAGTTAGAATTAAGTATAAGACAAAGTAAATATTCTAAAGCTATAAAATAGCACCTGAGTTATTTTAACAAATGTAAAAAAATTGAGCTAAGGTAGCTCTTTAAAGCTAAAATAAAGGAGACAATATAAAAGGGACTAAAATAATTTGTGGTGAACAAATAAAGTGGTAATCAAATAAGTGAGCTAAGAAATATAATGGCAAAATAGTTAACTTATTACACTTTAGCACCTGAGAATAGCAAAAATACAAATTACAAATAGCACCAGACTCACTCTTGTTCTTGCATTAAGGTCTAATATAATGAATTTGGTGTTGTCTATGTATTGAGCTAGAATGAGCTAAAGTACAACTAGGTATAAACTAATAATATAAAAATACCAATTAAAATGGTTGAAGACTCTCACTTACAATTGCACTGAGGTCTGATGTAAGTTGTTAACAAGAATTAGAGTATAATTAGAGTATACGGATACTCCCGCCCATTTTGATCCTCATACTCATTCTCTCTCTTGCATCGATCTCTCGGTTTGCTATTCCTCAAATGTACCCGACTTCACATGGTCTATCCTCCTGGACTTGCATGACAGCGATCATTTCCCAATGATCCTTACTTCCCCTTCGTACTCACCACCTCCTAATAGCTCACGCTTACAATTTGACGAAGAGAATTGGGACCTTTACTCGCGTCAAACTACTTTTAGTGAGGATCTTTCTTCATTCTTCATTGATGAGCTTTTACACCTCTTCTCAACCTCAGTTTTAACCGCAGCTTCACATTCTATACCCCAAACCTCGGGCAGGCATTCTCAGAGGTGCGTGCCTTGGTGGTCTCCTGCTTGTGCTGGGGCAGTACGTTTGAAACGCGATGCGTGGGGCAGGTACCTGTACAACAGAACCACAGAGAGGCTCCTGATTTTAAGCAGAAGAAAGCGGTCGCTCGCCCTGTCATCCGTGACGCAGAACGCACTTGTGGCGATTATGTTTCTACAGTCACTTCGGCTTCCTGTATAGTGTAATCTGGAATAAAGTACGAAAACTGGTGAATGCTCTCCCGACCCGGTTCCTGTTCTTCGGGTTACCAGTGCCACTATAACAAACCCTCTTGACGTTGCCACCGAAATTGGTAATCATCTTGTCCATATCTCTCAGGGGCTCCATTTATGTCCCTCGTTTCTTCCCACCAAGTCAACGTTCTCCGTTTGCTGATCAGCAGCTGGGCCTGACGGCATTCATATTTATATGTTACAGCATTTACCTCAGTCAGCCCTTGCTGTCCTCTAACGACTTTTTAATATTATTTGGTTGCAAGGAGTCTCAAAGCCTCCTTGTTCATCTGCAGTCCTACTCTCTATCATACTCTTAATCCAATAATGACTCTACCATACACTTTACCACGTATACTGAACAGACTTTTTTTTATTAACACAGCCGTTTCCCACCAAGGCAGGGCGACCCGAAAAAGAAAAACTTTCACCAACATTCACTCCATCACTGTCTTGCCAGAGGCACGCTTACACTACAGTTATAAAACTGCAACATTAACACCCGTCCTTCAGTGTGCAGACACTGTACTTGCCATCTCCAGGATTCAAGTCCGACCTGCCAGTTTCCCTGAATCTCTTCATACATATTATCCTACTCACACTCCAATAGCACGTCACGTCCTGAAAACCACTTGTCTCCATTCGCTCCTATCTAACATGCTCATGCATGCTTGCTGGAAGTCCAAGCCCCTCGCACACAAAACCTCCTTTATCCCCTCCCTCCAGGCTTACCTAGGCCGACCTCTTTCCCGCCTTCCCTCCACTGCAGATTTATAATCTCTCGAAGTCATTCTACTTTATTCCTCTATATTTTTTGCACTCTTTTATCCCCTTTGCCTTTATACAAAGGAACTATGCATGCTCTCTGCCAATCCCTAGGTACCTGATCCTCTTCCATACATTTATTAAATAACACCAACCACTCCAGAACTATATTCCCGCCTGCTTTTAACATTTTTATCTTTATCCCATCAATCCCAGCTGCTTTATCTCCAGTCATTCTACCCACTGCCTCACGCACTTCCCCTATACTCACAACTGGTTCTTCCTCGCTCCTACAAGATAGTTATATCTAGCCAGTAAATTTTATGCCATTTTTCCAATATGGTATTGTATATTTTCCCTGTTTCCATGATGGTAGTGGACAGAGGAACAGAAGGTCGGGAAAGAGCCTTCTGTTTTTAATGTAGGAACTGTAGAAGAAATTTCTCAGCAGACAGTCTCTGCTTGAATTTCCACCGCCTCTGTTGTCTTTCCCGTAATACACAATACAAGTATAAAAACAGTATTGCAAACGATTTAAGTAAAATGAATAAAAAATTTTTCTTAAATCGAGTGGTAAATTAATTGAATAGATTACTAGAAGTTTATCAGATCAGTTCAGTATATTTATAAATATGTATGGTAATTATATTTTTAATCCTCTACGTACATTATTTACTGAGCTTTACAGCCATCTATAATAAATACTGTTTAATTTACTTTGTATGATATTGAATATTGTTTTCTATAAGTTAGACAAATCTTCACTTTCAGTTGTGTGCCACAAACAACACTTGTGTTTTCGTTACAATATCATCTGCGAGCTCCATAATCTTTGCTCTCATTTCATGGACAGTTTTCCCGGTTGTCCATAGTTAATTGTGTCGTTTAAGTTTTCCTGTCTTTTGTACCACCAGCAAAGGTGGTGCAGCAGACAGGAAAGTGGTGACACTGATACACTTAGTACTACCACTGTGAATATCAGTAGTGTTACTATCACCGTCACTCACCCCACAGTACCAGGTGGGTGTATCAGTGGTGTTACTATCACCGTCCCTCTCACCCCACAGTGCCAGGTGGGTGTATCAGTGGTGTTACTATCACCGTCACTCACCCCACAGTACCAGGTGAGAGTATCAGTGGTGTTACTATCACCGTCCCTCTCACCCCACAGTGCCAGGTGGGTGTATCAGTGGTGTTACTATCACCGTCCCTCTCACCCCACAGTACCAGGTGAGAGAATCAGTGGTGTTACTATCACCGTCCCTCTCACCCCACAGTACCAGGTGAGAGTATCAGTGGTGTTACTATCACCGTCCCTCTCACCCCACAGTACCAGGTGAGAGTATCAGTGGTGTTACTATCACCGTCCCTCTCACCCCACAGTACCAGGTGGGTGTATCAGTGGTGTTACTATCACCGTCCTCTCACCCCAACAGTGCCAGGTGGGTGTATCATTGGTGTTACTATCACCGTCCCTCTCACCCCACAGTACCAAGTGAGTTTATCAGTGGTGTTACTATCACCGTCCCTCTCACCCCACAGTACCAGGTGAGTGTATCAGTGGTGTTACTATCACCGTCCCTCTCACCCCACAGTGCCAGGTGGGTGTATCAGTGGTGTTACTATCACCGTCCCTCTCACCCCACAGTACCAAGTGAGTTTATCAGTGGTGTTACTATCACCGTCCCTCTCACCCCACAGTACCAGGTGGGTGTATCAGTGGTGTTACTATCACCGTCCCTCTCACCCCACAGTACCAGGTGAGTGTATCAGTGGTGTTACTATCACCGTCCCTCTCACCCCACAGTGCCAGGTGGGTGTATCAGTGGTGTTACTATCACCGTCCCTCTCACCCCACAGTACCAGGTGGGTGTGGGCAGTATTTTACAAGCAACTCAGGAACCATCCAGAGCTTCAACTATGGCAGCTTCTACCTGGCCGGGGTCAACTATGGCATCTGCTTCAGGAAGGAGAAGGTGAGGGAGTGTACACCTCCAAGAAAAACAAATGAAAGCATTTAATGAATATTTTATTAAATATTATATTAAATAAATCTTATATTTCATATATTAAATATTATATTAATAAATATTAAATAAAACTGATTGATAATTGTTTGTTTTTCACAATTTCGAAGGTAAGTTTGACGTTCTAGTACTATAATGATTCCATTGTTTCAAGCAAGTTTCACTTTAAATCGATATAAAATCAGACCTATGACAACAGGCTGAACTTTGTAAAGATGTATTAGTATGATCACAATAGACACAACCTCTCATTACTTTGGACAGAATAAATGCAAGACAACTTTGAGATTATCGGGTCCATCATTCGTGCGGTGTCCCACTGATCTGTACCGTCTACCAGTGGGAGACACAGCCACTCCTAGCAACACTGTCATAAACATCAGTCCGCTAGGAGTAGAGGGACTTTACTGCCAGCTGGATGCTGCACCTGCAATATTAGCGCCCTTCACTGTCATCCAGGTGTGTGGAAGACTGTTTCTCTGAGTCTGCATCATTTTAATCTGATGAATTAAAGTCGTAATAGCATAACTGCAACAATTCCTAATTAACCCACAAACTGAAAAAAAGAAACTAGCAGACATGTTGACAACTTTACTATAGTCAAAAACTGAAAAGTTCGTCGTCCATTTTCACTGTGTCATGTTAACTTGTGTCATGTTAACTTGTGTCATGTTAAATACAAAACATTAAAAGTGTTATTTCTTTCAGCCTACGTTAACGACAGTGAGCAACGGACCACTTATCATAATGCACAGGACTAACCTGACCGACGGCTTCCCTAACTACCATTCCACCATTAACTGCACTACATGTGCTGGCTTCTACCAAAACTTCACTCATAATGACTGCTGACTTGATGAACTCTCACAAGCACAAGCCTGGTACAACATTCTGTAAGACACCTGGAGTATACCTGCAGAGGGTTTCGGGGGTCAAAGCCCCGCGGCCCGGTCTGTGACCAGGTCTCATGGTGAATCAGGACCTGATCAACCACACTGTTACTGCTGGCCGCACGTAATCCAACGTACGAACCACAGCCCGGCTGGTCAGGTACTGATTTCAGGTGGCTGTCCAGTGCCTGCTTGAAGACAGTCAGGAGTCTATAAGGAACTTCACATGTTACAATCCATGCAGAAATTACTGTGTTAGTATGATCATTTTCTGTACATTTCAACAAACCACGGACAGTACAATACAATATTAACAAAATAATGTATTTCGGTCATGTATGATACAAGAAAAGTTCATATACATGGGTATGCATATATATATTCATGTACTTATGTATACTTTTACATATAGATGTGTGTGCAAATGTGTGTATGGATATATATACTTGTGTGTATGTACAGGAAGACCAAAGTAATCGAATGTATATTTGTGAGCATATATTCACAAACATAAATACACATATATACTCACCTATTAGTGGTTGCAGATGTGGAAGCTCAGCTCCTGGGTCCACCTTTTCACTGACTCTCACTGTGTGAACTACCTATAACCTATTAGCTTCGTAAGCCATATCATACCTACTCTTAAAGCTCTGCATGTATCCTGTCTTTGCCATTTCACAGTCTAGAACTCACGAAATCGTAATGACACGATTGCAAACAAACCATGCGTCGGTCAGGAGTTTTATGACTACCGCAGGTTCAAGCCCCGCCCGTGGAATGGTCTGTCTAGGTCCCTCGGACATTCCACCTCCTGACCACCTCAGACTAAAAGAAATATTTCGTAAGTTATCCAGTGTTTGTTTTTCTAACACTCCGTCTCTCTCTGCTAGGTAATTTATCTGTATTTTGTACGTGTTAATCATCACTCATGGCCAGTACGACTACTACTACTCCCCATGAAAACCTCAGTGTTCTACTACTCCCCATGAACACCTCGGTGTACTACTCCCCATGAACCCCTTAGTGTACTACTACTCCCCATGAACACCTCAGTGTACTACTCCCCATAAAACCCCGCAGGTCCCTACCCCCCAAAACCCCTCATGTCCCTACCCCCATGAACCCCTCAGTGTACTCCCCCTTAACACCCCATGAAAATAAAAGTTTTCAGGGGCACTACCCCCCATGAACCTCAGGGGTACAACTCCCCAAAGAAAAACCTCTTGTATACTATTTCCCCCATAAAAAAACCTCAGTGTCTACTACCCCCTTTAAACCCCCTCAGTGAAAATTACTCCCCTTGAACCCCTCATTTAAAACAAATCCCTTCCCCATAAACCCCCTCATGTATTACTCCCCAAGAACCCCCCCAGTGTACTAATTGTCCCCATGAACACCTCAGTATATTTAACAATTTCCCCATGAACACCTAGTGTATACTCCCCAAAACCCCCAAAAACAAGTGAAACTACAAACTCCCCATAAACCCCTAGTGATACTACTCCCCATGCACCTCTGTATACTCCCCCCAATGAACACATCGGGTTTTCTATACTCCCAATGAAAACCTCATTTTCAAACCCCCCATGAACCCCCCAGTGTACTACTACTCCCCCCATGAACCCCTAATGTACTCCCTACCCATTAAAACCCAACCTCAGTGAATTTCCTCCCCATAAACCCCCCTGTGACTACTTCCCAATGAACACCTCAGTTTTACTATTTTCCCATGAACCCCTCAGTTTACTACCCCCTTAAACCCCCCAGGTACCCCCCCCCCTAAAAACCTCAGGGGGTCTCCCCAAAACCCATGAACACCCCCCCATGCCCCCTACCTTACAAAACCCCCATGAACCCCTCATGTACTACTACTTCCCCAAAGTAAACCTATGTGGAACTTACTCCAAAAATTAAACCCTCAGTGTTTTTCTATTCCCATGAACCCCTCAGTGTACTACTACCCCCCATAAACCCCTAAATGTCAAACTATTTCCCATGAACCCTCAGAGAAACCCCTCCCCAAAACCCCTTCATGTCTATTTCCCCATGAACCCCTCAGTGATTCTACTCCCCATAAACCCCTCAGTTCCACACCCCCAAAGGGAACCCCTTAATAAATTTCCTACTCCCATAAACCCCTCAGTTTTCTATACTCCCCTTAACCCCTTTCATGTACCCCCCCTATCCTTATTAACCCCTAAAATGTTTATACTACCCCCCATAAACCCCTCAGTGTACAAACATTTCCCATTAAAACCCCCTAAATTTTACTACTCCCAAACCCCCCAGGAAATATTTACTCCCCATGAACCCCCCCCCCAACCCCCCCCCGAACACCCCCTGTACCCCCCTATAGGAAAACCTCATTTTAATATATTTCCCCAAAAAAAACCCCCCTAAGTTTTTTTTAAACTACTCCCCTTTAAAAATCAGGTACTACTACCCCCATGAACCCCTCAGTTAAATAAACTCCCCTTTGAACCCCCCCAGGTACACTACCCCCATGAACACCTAAGTATCCCCCCCCCCAAACAAAAACCCCCCCAAGTGTCTACTACTCCCAAACCCTAAGGGGTTTATTTTCTCCCCTTTAAACCCCCTCAGTGTACTAACCCCCAAAATAACCCTCAGTTACAAACCCCCATGAACCTAAAGTGTTACTACCCCCTTTGAAAACCCAGGTCTACTCCCCTGGAAACCCAGGCAAACCCAAATTTTGGACTACTCCCCATAAACCCTCAGTGAACTTTTCCCCCAAAAACCCTTTATGTGTGCTACCCCCAAATGAACCCCTCAGTGACTACTCCCTCCCTTGAACACCTCAGTTACTCTCCCCAGGGAACCCCCCTTTCATGTACAATTTTACTCCCAATAAACCCCTAATGTACTACACCCCCCTTGAACCCCTCTGTTACTACTACTCCACATGAACCCCTTCAGTGATTTTACCCCCCCTGAACACCTCAGTGACTATTTCCCCCCGGGGGGGGAACACCCTTTTTGAAAACTACCCCCAATGAACCCCTCAGGGGACTACCCCCAACCCCCCCATGAACAACCCATTATGGTTACTATCCCCATAAAACCTAGGGGCTATTTACTCCCCATTAAAACCCCTCGGGTTTACTACTACTCCCCATGAACACCTCAGTATACTACTCCACATGAACACTTCAGTGTACTGCTACTCCCCATGAACCCCTCAGTGTACTACTACTCCCCATGAACCCCTCAGTGTACTACTACTCCCCATGAACACCTCAGTGTACTACTACCCCCATGAACACCTCAGTGTACTACTCCCCGTGAACACCTCAGTGTACTACTACTCCCCACGAACCCTCAGTGTACTACTACTCCCCATGAACACCTCAGTGTACTACTACACCCCATGAACAACTCAGTATGCTACTACTCCCCATGAGCACCTCAGTGTGCTACTACTCCCCATGAACACCTCAGGGTACTACTACTCCCCATAAACACCTCAGTGTACTACTACTCCCCATGAACCCCTCAGTTTAATAATACTCCCCATGAACACCACAGTGTACTACTCCCCATGAACCCCTCAGTGTATTACTACTCTCTAAGAACCCCTCAGTGTACTACTAGTCCCCATGAACACCTCAGTATACTACTACTCCCCATGAACACCTCAGTGTACTACTCCCCATGAACCCCTCAGTGTACTACTATTACCCATGAACCCCTCAGTGTACTACTACTCCCCATGAACACCTCAGTGTACTACTGCTCCCCATGAACACCTCAGTGTACTACTACTCCATATGAACACCTCAGTGTACTACTCCCCATGAACCCCTAAGTGTACTACTACTCCCCATGAACCCCTCAGTGTACTACTACCCATGAACACCTCAGTGTACTACTACTCCCCATGAACACCTCAGTGTACTACTACTCCCCATGAACCCTCAGTGTACTACTACTCCCCATGAACACCTCAGTGTACTACTACAATCCATGAACACCTCAGTGTGCTACTACTCCCCATGAACACCTCAGTGTACTACTACTCCCCATGAACACCTCAGTGTGCTACTACTCCCCATGAACACCTCAGCGTACTACTCCCCACGAACACTTCAGTGTGTTACTACTCCCCATGAACACCTCAGTGCACTACTACTCCCCATGAACACCTCAGTGCACTACTACTCCCCATGAACACCTCAGTATACTACAACTCTCCGTGAACACTTAAGTGAACTGCTTCTCCCTATGAACCCATCAGTGTACTATTACTCCCCATGAACACCTCAGTGTACTGCTACTCCCCATGAACACCTCAGTGTACTACTACTCCCCATAAACACTTCAATGTACTACTACTCCTCATGAACCCCTCAGTGTACTACTGCTCCCCATGAACCCTCAGTGTACTACTACCCATGAACCCCTCAGTGTACTACTACTCCCCATGAACCCCTCAGTGTACTACTACTACCAATGAACACCTCAATATACTACTCCACATAAACCACTCAGTGTACTACTACTCCCCATTAACCCCTCAGTGTACTACTACTCCCAAGAACCCCTCAGTGTAATACTACTCCCCATGAACACCTCAGTGTACTACTACTCCCCATGAACACCTCAGTGTACTACTCCCCATGAACCCCTCAGTGTACTACTACTCCCCCTGAACCACTCAGTGTGCTACTCCCCATGAACACCTCAGTGTACTACTACTCCCAATGAACCCCTAAGTGTACTACTACTCCCCGTCAACTCCTCAGTGTACTACTACACCTCATGAACACCTCAGTGTATTACTACTCCCCATGAGCACCTCAGTGTGCTACTACTCCCCGTGAATACCTCAGTGTACTACTACTCCCCAGGAACACCTCATTGTACTTCTCCCCTTGAACACCTCAGTGTACTACTACTCCCCATGAATACCTCAGTGTGCTACTACTCCCCTTGATCACCTCAGTGCACTACTACTCCCCATGAACACCTCAGTATACTACTTCCCATGAACACTTCAGTGTACTGCTACTCCACATTAGCCCCTCAGTGTACTACTACTCACCATGAACACCTCAGTGTACTGGTACTCCAAAAGAACACCTCAGTGTACTACTACTCCCCATAAACACATCAATGTACTACTCCCCATGAACACCTCAGTGAACTGCTACTCACCATAAACACCACAGTGTACTACTACCCATGAACCCCTCAGTGTACTACTACTTCCCATGAACCCCTCAGTGTACTACTACTACCCATGAATACCTCAGTGAACTACTACTACCCATAAACACCTCAGTGTAATGCTACTCCCCATGAACACCTCAGTGTACTAGTACCCATAAACACCTCAGCGTACTACTACTCCCCATGAACACCTCAGTGTACTACTACTACCCATGAACACCTCAATGTACTACTACTCCCCATGAACACCTAAGCGTACTATTCCCCATGAACACCTCAGAGCACTACTACTCCTAATGAACCCCTCAGTGTACTACTACTCCCCATGAACACCTCAGTGTACTACTACTCCCAATTAACACCCCAGTGTACTACTAATCACCATGAACACCTCAGTGTACTACTCCCCATGAACCCCTCAGTGTAATACTACTCCATATGAACTCCTCAGTGTAGTACTACCCATGAACAACTCAGTGTACTTCTACTCCCTATAAACACTTCAGCGTACTACTACTCACCATGAACACCTCAGTGTACTACTACTCACCATGAACACCTCGGTGTACTCCTACCCATGAACACCTCAGTGTACTAATACTCCCCATGAACACCTCAGTGTACCACTACCTGAAGTCCCCACAGTGTACTACACTCCCCATGAAAGACCACAGTGTACTACTGTTCCCATGAACCCCTCATGTCTACTTACCCCATGACACCTCAGTGTAACTCTCCCCATTACCCCTCTGACTACTACACCCCCTTAA